GACAGCGCGATGCCATTACAGCAAGTCAGAAAAGGCTCCACGGAAACGACACCACCAGTGGGAGCTTAAAATCGGTAATTCGAACATATCTTCACTCAGAGGAAAAGAACATGAATTAGTTTATGAGGCCACGAAGCACCAACTCGACATTGTTGGACTCTCGTCAACAAAACGCCCCGGCTCTGGACTCCTGAACCTCTGCCGGTGGAAACTTCGACACCACGACGCGCGCTCAAGCCGCTGATGATGTTCTGGTAGAACCCAACCTCGCAGATACAATCATTGATTGGAAGCCTGTCAGGAGAAAGCTGGTAATCTTCCGACTGAAACTACAACATGCTAAAGCGTTGACATTGGTACAGGTCCATGCGCTCAACTTGTAAGGAAAACATGATACCAATCATGGGAAAGTGAAATGTGCTCTGTCCAAAGTGATGGATACAGCGTCACTCATACTCATGGGCGATTTTAATGAGCATGTCCGAGTAGAAGCTGAAATGTGGAACGGCGTGATTAGAAAGAACGGCCCTATTGACCTCAGCAATAACGGCATTAAGTTGTTGCGGTTTTGTACAAATAACGGACTGTCCGTTATGAAGACCTTCTTTGAGCATCGAAAAGTGCATCAGGACACCTGGTACCACGAAGCTTGTGCACAGAAGACGATGGTTGATTTGATAATCGTATCGTCTGACCTAAGACGCTCAGCAATGGATGTTCGTGTTAAAAAAGGCGCAGAGCTATCAACCGATCATCACCTTGTTGTTGGCACGAAAGTTGGTAAGAAATGGAGTACCATAAAAAGATCTGGTGGCAGAAGCAACCGGAGAATCAAATGGAAAACTTTATCTTCGGTAGATACGAGAGCAAAATTTGCAAACAACATCGCACGACGGTTTCAATAGATCCCGGTGATGACCACCGGTGTGGAAACCGACAGCTCTTTAACAGCGGCATACACGAGGCTGCCGCCAAATGCTACGGATTTAAACAGGTTGGCCTGCCACCTGGAGGTCAGAAGGGAACCTCCCGGTGGACACGAGAGGTGCACTTCATTGTAGTGCAAAAGAAGGCTGCATTCAAGAGATGGCTTCAAAGCAAAAGAGCATTCAATTTGCATGCGGTATGAAGAAACGCGTTAGACGGCAGCGGAAACAGCGGCAAAGACCGAAGCTCATTCCTGGGAGAAATTCCGTGATTTGTTACGTTCGAATTTCCAGACATTCTGGCAAACGATCTGTCGTCTCTGAAATTAAACGAAGGGCAGCCTAAGAGTCCTGAAGGACAAGCCAATAATCCTCTTAACGAGAATGAAGATATTCATTGAGAGTACTTTAAGAGACTCCTTAACCCCAAATAACTGCAGGAAAACTCGCCTGAAGAGCAGCATGGAACGGATATTAGTATTTCAGTGGATGAAATCACACAAGGTGCAAAGTGGTCAATGCATTAGGCGAACAGGACATATGCTGAATTACACGTGTCTGTCTAACTGCAATGGCTACTAAGAAGATACCAACAGACTGGAAAATGGAATTGTAGTACCTGTTCAAGAAAAGGAACCATAGGGAGTGTTTCAGTTTTTGGCGGATTATATTATAGAGGCTTCGTTTTAAGGTCTGCACGAAAGTGCTGGGAAGGAGCTGCCGCAGAATAACGGTCTTTAAAATACTAGAACAGCAACGTGGCTTTCGGTCTGGTCGAAGCATCTCTGACCATATATTTGCTCTGCGCCAGATTGATGGGAAATCATCGGAGTTCGCCCATTCGGTGTACATATGCTTCGTTGACTTAAGGAAAGCCCATGACCGGATTTCGCGCAGCAGTCTATAGGCATGCCTGTGAACATGCGGGATCGATGATCAGTTGCTACCAGCCATTCAATCGCTATATACTGATAGCAGGTGCTGCGTCAGAGTAGACGGCATTAAGTCGAAACCTTTCAGCGTTTGCACTGGTCTCCGCCAAGACTGCGTTCTGTCCCCCGTCTAGTTTTTCTTGAATAGAATAGTGGGGCGCAGCCAGTGCGATAAGGTATCACTGTGGGAAACGTCGAGACGAGAAGGTTGTTTACTGACGACCTTATTTTGCTGTCATCTTCTGCGGTTGATCTCCAGCGCTCTCTGAAAAGATTCACATTTGAATATGACGAAGCCGTGCGTGAACGTATGTGAAATGAAAAGCCTAGAACTTTCTGGTTCTCCAGCTCGTTGCTCTCTTCAGATAAACGGAGATGCAGTGGAACAGGTGGAGACGTTCGAGCACCTCGGAGTCGCATTTACTAGTGATGGAAAATTTGAAGAAAAGATTGACCGGCAAATTGGAGTAGCCAGTGGCGCTCTGCGCAAACAAACCCTACCCTAACTGTTGTGACTAGGGCAGAGCTGAGTCTGAAGACTAAACTGTCCTTGTTAAGGTCGATCTTCGTCTCCATGCTTCCTTACGGTAGCGACTCATGGAACTTAACTGAATAATTTCGATCTCAAATAGGCGGCTAAAACAGGCTTTCTGAAACGATTCTTTGACCTTAAGCGTCTCTACATAGTCCGGAGAACAGAAATCGGCGAGAGCCTTGGTGTGCAGCAGGTGTCTCTTGAGATTAAGAAGTCACGGCTGAGATGGTTGATCACGTGTTGTGAATGCCTCTAGAAAAGAAGCCTAAGCAGTTTCTGTTTGACCGGAAGAAGGCCCAGGGGACCACCAGGATTAAACTGGCGCAAACAGAAAGATTCTGATCTAGACTCCGATTGTCTTCTACCGAAGCCCGGACTCTGGCACAGAATCGGGAACGCCTGAAAGGGCAGTCATGGAAGATGAAAATGAATGAAGATGAAAAGAGAAACAGCAGGAGAGTTGATGAGTCTGCAAGGTACTAACTCGACATAGTTGAACTCTCGTTAACGTAAGATCAGGTTTCTTG